AAAGTAGAAGAAAAGAATAGAGTCCTTGAGACAAAAAAGGGTTAACACAGAACTGTTTACCAGATAGAAGAGGAAAAATATGCAGAGGTCCACTCCCCTCTTAGAGGTGGAGTTTGAACTTTGCCGTGGTCACTGTCTAGCTTACAAACTCCGGTGCAGTGAACCCAGAATCTGCTAGCTGCAGCCGAGTTTGTAAGCTGAACTTTAACCCTCATATGAGTGATAAGAGCTCTACCTGTAAGTTCACCTCATCAACAGGTTGGCTGGAGAAAGTATGACGTTTGATGCCTTCAAACTGTCTGTCTAAAAGTTTTGTTAAGAGGGGTGACGCGGTCGTAAGCTCTTATATAGTTCCACTTGTGAGCAGAGTAGTCCCGGACAGTGCTTCGGACCTCTAAACCACAACACCAACCACAATCTGCAGAGGATCATTTTCAACCTTTTAAAAGCTTTTATTCCGGAAGCTGGACTGAAGCACCATGTTGAGTAAAGATCTTCCAGACATTGAGGTAAATTTGCTGTGTTATATGTTATAGCAGGATATTCTCATATGATATACACTAAGTGGAAAATGCAATGTATAGCATTCTCTAGCAACACATATACAGGTGTTGTGTGGATAACTGCGCTTCCAAAATGTTTTCCATGCCATAGTAAAAGAAAGTCATTCTAATTGTGTCCATAGAATTTTTATGAGTACAAATGGGGATTTAAAGATTATTCTCCACTAATCTAGAAGCTTAACAGTAGGCTAATTTGCACATGACTGGCCTCTAATTGTGACCATTTCACAAGAAAAAATTGAAACTATACATACAGCTGTGATCCTGGAATAACAGTAAGTCAGTCACAATCATCTGTTCATATACAGTTTCATCAGACTTTCAGGCATATCACAGTTTTCAAATGGACTTCCGCCATGCACAGGTTACTGCTTTGAGTCCATCAGTTTCTCCGCACAAAGAGTACTTCCCTTACTGTGTGTGTCTTTAGAAAAGGCCTGTGTATAATTCAACATTCGGCTGCCCACAGGGTGAGACGTTGCTTTCTATAAGAAGCAAGCCTGACTGCAAAGTCACACGATGGAGATTCATTGGGTTACTCTTTTTACTAATGTAAAGTATTGACTTTAGTGTGAGAAGTGCCCTGGTGTGATTTAGATGATACTGAAATAGAAATGAAAGTATCCAGATTTTTTGGGACAAAGTAAAAACACATCTTACATCTTACTAATTTAGAAATGCATCTTACTAATAGAAATGCATGTCGCACACCGATGTGTTCTCTGCCTTGTGGCAAAATAATACATGTCAAAGTGACATGAAAATAAAATGTTTTATAAAATAAAAATGTTTTTTAATGAAATAAAACCGCTTCTGGAAACACAAAACAGATAAATAGAGGGGGGGAGGCACTGTCAAAGTGCCTGAGAACATGGGTGTCTAAATGCTTTTTAAAGGAATCTACTGAGTCACCTGATTTTTACTCTTTTAAAAGTCCTCTTGGGTGCACAGAGACATAGTACTTCACTGATATGTTAAGGCCACGCAGGACACCTAAATTGAGAGTAAGAACCATCAGTTGGAAAGGGGAAAAAGCTTCTATCAGGTCAAGGAGCACCAACATAACTAAAAACGCTATACCCTGTCCTATCCAGAGTACCATTTGTGGGTCTCAGTAAGTCAAGATAACATGCTTACAAGATGAATATATTTTAACATTAAAGACCAGTAGAGTTATCAGAGATATACGACAGACCTATAAATTGGCTAATCACTGCAACGGTGAGGATTTAGTGGGTAAAATGCCGCACGATGCAGTCTGAACATGATCACCTGGTATTATGTAAC